TTCCTGGTGACAAAATGGTGGGGAAAAAAAGGTAGGGAAAAAAAAAGTTCATATATAGTATTATTTGGAGGAGGCTACTGCCATTCTTCCACTCCTCAGTGGAGCTTAACTGGTTACTGAACTCGCATGCGTCATGCAAGTAATAACCTGTGAAATATGAAATGTGGAAACTACCACAGGTGATTGATTGCTGGCGGATCACAGCGTCCAGCCGTGATTTTTATTTTTTAAACCAAGCCAAGAAACACACAGACTGTCTGCCACTAACCTTAAATCTTCTCTCTTTGTTTGAATGCGATTCAGTTATTTTTTTTGCCAAAAGCGGTTTCACTCCAGCGCACTTTCTATCTTTCTGTGCGCTTGAATTCTGATCAGCAGCCACAAACACAACACATTTTTCAGGTGGAAAACATGTCTCTCTACTTCTTCTGTGTCATGATATATTATTATTTTTTATCTTTAACTCTTAAGTGTTTGTGCTCGTTTGAGTTCAGGTCCATTTTTAGAGGTGGGAAAGAGCCGTGTTGTTGAGTGGATCTGGTTTCAACAAACATCCGTGGACTATTAATAAATCATTGCTGCTCTGCGCAGTGGGATGCTGTTGGCGTCACCGTGTTTGTGTGTCTTGGTGCTCGTATGTGTGTGTGCGTGCATGTGTAAATCATTCTATAACCCTTATATTTAAACAAGGCTTCTAAACTTTTTCACACTCTCTTGAGAAAAATAAAAAAGAGACTTTGTATCTCGTGTGTGTTGCAGCCACAAACCACCTCCAGTATTTCTTTCCGTTTCTTTTGTTGCTTCTTATAAAGAAAGCCTAGAAAAACACTCACACTTAATTGGCATGAAACTTTGACTAAAAATGGCAACCAACACATGCGAAAATCCAAACCTAACCCCTAATTATTGATTCTCTTCTTTTCTAACCGTTTACGAACTCAAAGTAAACCATTCTTCAGCTGCGGTGAATCTTCCAGGACAATTACCCAAGGGTCCTGCTTTGAGATTTTAACAAAACCAACTCCTAGAAGGGAGAACACATTGTAGTCAGAGGGGAGAGGAGAGCAGGCGATGGGCTGAAAGAAGATGGGTGACAGAAAAGATTTAAACAGAAAGGGAAAAGAGGTTAAACGCAGAAGGTGGAGGTTATAGAAGTGGTGATTTGTGACCCACAGGAAACAGGCAAAGGGCTCATTTTCCCCGAGCTCTCAGAGACCATAACAAGCCCAGACGCTGTGTGTTTCCTCTTGATAACGCACAGCAAGCTCACATGAACTCTCATTGACTCACTCAACACTCAATTTGGCTGCTTGAAGGAAAGATCCTTGTGTTGAAGCTGCTCGTGTGCATTCTTTTATCTGTTGAGTTTGACCATAGTCGTGCCCAAAAACGGTGAAGAATTATAAGTATTCGGTGTTTCCTCCAGTAATTGTACTCTTGGCAAGGTGGGAAAGGCGTACGCACGTCTCATTCTCACTTATTTACGGCACATGTAAACATAGCTGGAGTTGGTAGAGATGTTGAGGAGAGGAAGGTAAAAAGTCAGAAAGCCTCTAGAAATGTGAGAGAATGTGTTTGTCTTTTTTTTCCCTTTTTTTTTTTTTTTCATGCTCCCTCTTTGCTTTTAGTCAGCCACTTCATCCTGCACTTACAGACCAAGTTTTGCATTCAGTTATAGTGATCAGGACAAAGAGAGAGAAGTGAGAGATAAAAGACAAAACTGTCCTTGTTCAGTCCGGATCCCACAGTGGTCTAGACACTAACTTCATCACACCTCTCCCTGCCAAACACTCACTTTTGTTTTATCAGCCTACTCCACACCAGTATGATAGGAGATATCAATAAGACGATAAAGCGCCCGCCGATTAGACAGGTTTGATACTAGCTGAGTGTTTTAGCGAGGATGTTCGGGATATTCTTCTATTTGTTGCAGATAACAAAAAAAAAAGGCACACCAGAGAAATGTTGTAAGAAAAAAAAAAAAAAAAGTAACACACTTAACGTAGTCTGCGAGAGGGCCCTTCAAGCTGCTGTTCCCAGACTGCAAACTCCTGCGCTGAGCCGGAGGATGATGTGGTGAAATCTTGGCGGCGAGAGATTGAGCGCTTGCGTATAAGCTTTGAAGTTAATTTGACAAGTGCTTGAATGGTTCAACTATAAGCAATATCACCTGTGGGGTGGGGTGGGGTGGGGTGGGGTGGTAAGAGAAAAAAAAAATCTGCTGTAATGTGCTGTCGTTCGGAGGCAGGCGGTGTGTCCATGTGCATGAGGAAAGTGTGTTAAAAGGGAGTGGACTTGCTGGTGAATGAGTAAATGCGTGTGCATGTGGGTTGAAACATACTTACCTAGGGATGTGAGTGCGCCAGCCAGACATCATTAGGCTTTGAGGCAAAAAAGTCTCCATGGCACCATTTTTTTTCTTGCTTTTTTTTTTTTTTGCTTTTTTTTTTTTTTGCAGTCTGCCTGACCCAGCAGACACAGTCAGGCACGCCGTTTAAGATCATTTATTTGGGTTTGTATGTACTCCCCGTGTGTGTGGATTACTGTGTGTGTTGCATCCTGTGTGTGTTTGCGTGCATGTTATTTATTTATTTTGCCTGGTAATATGCCTGAGCCTTCATTATAGCAGGAGCCATAACTTTGATAAATCACTTGGGCTCGGGGCCCTCACTGCTTTCACAGTATTAGAAAACTAATTGAAATTCTCTTCCACCCCCCTCCTCTCCCTCCCTCCCTCCCGCCCTCCCTCTCTCTCTCTCTCTCTCTCTCTCTCTTTCTCTCTTTCTTTCTTTTTCTCTCTCTGTTTTTCACTCTCTCCTCCCGTCTCTGTAGCGAGGGCCAAACAGTACTGTGTTTTTTCAGTGGAATAGAAGCCAAGAGGGGGAAAATGTCATCACTGATTTAATAGGCGTAGTCTTACTCAGAAACACACATACAGCAGCCTCTCTCTCACTCACACACACACACACACACACACACACACACAGACAGACAAACACACACTGCACTCTGGGGAGTGTTAGGAATCCTGATAATGTCATCATAGGAATCTCCATAATGTACCCCGCTCTCCTGCAGGCTCCAGTTTGACTGCGCTTCTCCCTTCCTCTGCTTTTGATTAGATGGGGGGGTTAGGTTTAGGTTGATGGGATTTAGAGTTTAGATACTTGTTTCTATGGCCGTGATCCCCCCGCTGTCCTCGGATTGAGGGTCTGTTTGGTTCGTTGCCTGGGATCTCCCAGCTGCCACTGGATTTAGGGTTTAGTCGTTGCATTGTCCATGATCCCCCTGCCGCTACTAGATTTGTTGCATTTATAGGGATCTCTCTGTGCTGCAGATACATTCAGGGTGTGGTTGGTGTAGTTGCGCAGGATCTCCCAGATGAAATTTGTGTTTTTTGAGTTGTTTTATTGTTCAGGATCTCCTCCCCGCTGCTGGATTTAGAGGTTTGGTTGTTTCATTATACACCATCACTCAGCTGTTGCTAGATTTAGGGTTTAGTTGTGTTTTTTTGTCCAGGATCTCCCTGCTGCAACTGGATTTCGCCGAGCTTAGCCACTTCTTTTTAATATCTAGACACTGCTACTGTTTGTGCGACACTTGGGGGCTTTATGTCCACCCCGCAACCCCTCCCTCTCTCCCCGGGTGAGCTTTGTAGTGTGAAGCTAAAGATTTAGTGATGGAGGCTGTGGTGTGTGTGTGTGTGTGTGTGTGTGTGTGTGTGTGTGTGTGTGTGTAGGCTATATATGACCCGACTTGTGTGGACCAGGGCGATTTCAAGGAGTCCTGTCAGCACACAAAATTTCTCTCTGTAAACATTCCTCTGACGTGATCCAGCCCAGGAGAGGAGGGCAGCGTTTGCGCCTGTGTGTGTGTTTTTGACTGGCAGCGTGTGTCTGTTGACCAGACAAATCCATACCATCGCTCGCAGACACACTGCAGGCACATAACCACATACACACACACACACACACCACACACACCACACACACCACACACGTACATATGCAACCCGTGTGTGTGTGTGTGTGGTTAATGAGGATGTGTTGATTGATTAGACTGCAGTAATTAGCTGGAGTGTGAAGGCCTGGAAAGGTCTCTGCTCTGGTGGGAGTGTCCCCTCTGGAGAGACATTGAACTGTGCTATGCACCATTACATTACACACACACACACACACACACACACTCTACAGACTGCTCATTTGCCAAATCTCAGATGTGAGATGAGTCATCTCTCGGAGGCAGACCTAATACTCTGTGCAAGTGTGAGGCGAGAGGAAGGATGTTTGTGTGTGTGTGTGTGTGTGTGTGTGTGTGTGTGTGTGTGTGTGTGTGTCAGAGTCTGAGACATAAGGATATTTGCTGTGTGGAGATGTGTGTTGCAGAGTGAGATGTGCTTGTGCCAGCAGTTTCTTTTCCTGCACAGTGTGGCCTGAACACTGACCTGATCCTCTGCCTGACAAATCAACTGCCCGCCTCACCTCCTCCCCCTCCTCCCCCTCCTCCTCCTCTTCCTCCTGCTCATTTGTAGTTTCACTTCTCATCTGCTGCCCAGTTTTCTCTCGTGCATCACACAGCTGCTTCTAGTAAATGCAAATAATATGATATTAGGTATGACAGCCTCTGTCTGTAGCTTTCCTCCTCCTGAGTTACGAGGATGGAGAATGAACTGCTGCAGTAAAGTGTTGTAAACAGTGCCGCCACATGGATGACGGGGGAATTACATATGATGCAGTGTTTGATTTTTTTTTTTTTTTTTTCTTTTTAAAGAATTATCTCTTTTCGCCTCTCTTATCTACATTGTCTCACTTAATATGAATAATCAAGAACTTTCCCCCAAAAGAAAACAAAAAGTCATTAAAGTCAGTTTGCAGGTGAAACTTATACATGAGCTTGTTTTTACAGGTCGTGTTGCAGCTGGTTTTTTTGCTGACTCGTTAATGCAGTGTTTTTACCTTATTGATTGACTGAGCTTCTTCCTTTCTGTCTCCCTCTAACAGGAAGTTCTACTACATCACTCTGCTGAGGGACCCTGTGTCTCGATACCTCAGCGAGTGGAGACATGTGCAACGGGGAGCCACGTGGAAAACCTCCCTGCACATGTGCGATGGACGGACCCCGACGCCCGAGGAGCTGCCCTCCTGCTACGAGGGCTCCGACTGGTCGGGGTGCACCCTGCAGCAGTTCATGGACTGTCCCTACAACCTGGCCAACAACAGACAGGTGGGGGAGCAAAAAAAAAAAAAAAAAAGAAGCTTTTAACGTGAATCAAGTATAAACAACAGAAACTCTACACTACAAGGTTCAGAGAGGTGGGATGAAAGCCAGTGCAGTTGTTAAAGTGAATTCTGTGGAGAGAAAAGGTGCCCACAAATCCTCAGCTATTCAGCTTTTCTTCTTCTGGCCATTTGTGCAAACACTCACTTGTACTGCAAACACTCAAAAGATCAGCTGATTTCAGTCTTGGTGCCGCCATTTATCACTGCTGCCTAGCTAACCTGCATCTCTGCACCTGACCTGACCTCTCTCCTGCCTGCTGGACCGCTTTGTTTTGTTCCTCAATAGGATTACAGTCCTGATATTGTCAGTTAGTACCATTAATCCAAGTCTACTGGAAAATACCAATAATACTCTGTAGAAAAATAGATCAAATCATTTGGTAAAGTTTCACATGAGAAACCAAATACACAGTAGATAGATATGGATTTGGAAGCCAACAATTCATAACTCATTAACATTTATTCTTTCAACTTATAAAGGTTGAACATATATTCATTTGTTAACACAAAGAGTTAATGGAGAAATTTTAATTCATTTTGAATTCGATTTCTTAAATTCAGACGAGATGTGAAAAGTGTAAGATGAGTTTCACACATGTGAACATATCCTCTTCCCTCACACACACACACACACACACACACACACACACACACACACACACACACACACACACACACACACACACACACACATATACCCATACACAGTCAGGAGTTTGCCTGCTGGCCATAAACACCTCAAATTCACACCTTCTTTTCTCATGCTATCTCAGTCTCCCACCTAAACCTGTTGGCCAGCTTATCTCATCTGAGCCTGAGGTTGTTATTACTCAGGGTCCCATGACTTATAAATGTGGCGCACGCACGCGCACACACACACACACACACACACACACACACTTGAGGTATCCTGATGGACCAGCAGGCTGAGGTGCACACAGTGTACTCTTGTAATGTCAGGATTCAGTCTCTGTCCCTGTAACACCACAGCTCCAGAGAGCACTCAGCTGTACAGTGATCTCTCATTTTTGCAACCAAATCCAGTTGAACATCAACTACTTGAGTTTACAAAGTGCGACAGGAATCAAGGAATTTGACTTAGTACTGAAATTCCAAGTGCTAGTTACGTACTATAGGGCATTATACACAAAATGCAGGAATTTTCATAATCTATTTAATCTCTTAACTCTTTTCATTTTCCCTCTTTGAACTCGTGATTAAACATTTAGTCTACAAAAAAAAGGGAAAACAAAAAACAGTACCTTAAACTCAAATTGATGTCTAATTAAGTCTCCTAATTGTTTGCTTTTTCTTTCATTTTCGTTCCTGCATTTTGAGTGAGCTGGAGACTGTGTATAAAAGGTGACATATGAATCAAGTGAAATGTAAAACCACATTAAAGAAGGCAAAACCAGTATTTTCACATAATGTTTTTTAAATGTAATAACTTAGTGAGATGTTGAACTGTAACAAACTTAAACACAGGTCCTTGATTCAAAGGATGGATTCTGTTAACGCTGTCACAAACACACAAACATCCACTGATTTCTACAACCTCCTCACTTCCTTTTTCCCCGGTCTCTAGGTTCGTATGCTGGCAGACCTGAGCCTCGTCGGCTGCTACAACATGTCCACGGTCCCAGAGAAGAAGAGGGCCCAGCTTCTCCTGGAGTCGGCCAAGAAGAACCTGCGAGACATGGCCTTCTTTGGTCTGACGGAGTACCAGAGGAAAACCCAGTTCCTGTTTGAGCGAACCTTCAGGCTGCGCTTCATCAGGCCCTTCATGCAGTACAACAGCACCCGGGCCGCAGGGGTGGACCTGGACAATGCTACGGTTCGTACAAAGGCTCGTTCACTTTCGGTGGATTTTGTTCTATAAGGAAGAGAGAAAATGAATGAATGCACTTACAACAAATGTAATAGGACAAATGTAGTATTTATTTATAGGATTATTACAGTCTGTTGTATAATTCTTGTATGTATGTGTAACATGTTTCATTGAAGAAAGACAATCATAGAGAATAAAAAGAAAGTGAAAAGTCAAACAAATATTTCAAAAAGAAGCGAAAGATCTGAGAAGAGAGAAGTAGAAAAAGTAGAAAAATAAGAAAATGAGAAAAAGAGAGACTCAAAGAGTAAACACAGTGGTTTTTTTTATTTCTGTGAAATGAGTTGGGATGACTGTCGCCGTTAAAAAAACAGCAGCTTCAAAGATGTTCTTCACACTTTGGTCCAATTGGTCCAGTGTGGGAGTTCTTAGGCTCAATTCCCAGCAAAAAAAAATAAAAAATCCTCCAGCACACAGCAGACTGGTGACTTATACATCAAAACCAAAAGGAAGGAGAGAAAATAAAGTATGCCCAGCTGACAGAGGCTGCAGGAAAGTAGACCAATGGTTATTATCACAAAATAGAAAATGTGTTGTGATTTGTAGTCTGACAGGACGGTCTGTGTGGGGCATCTTGAGTAAAAATTAGTTTCTGAAATTAGCTTTCAAATATAATACCTCGAAACGCAGTGTGTGTGAAATTGTGACATTATTTAATAATTTTTTTTAAAAGTCAAATAATTACATCAGCAGGTGATGGGAAGGATATTTTCTTTTTCGAGTCTGGCAGCTCGGCGCGGTCGTCTTGGCTTTGTGCCGGTGTCCCCCGGTGCTGCCGATCAAACATCTCCAATTTTCTAACATCAGTGCGACGCTTCGCTTCCCTCTGTGGTCGCACACATCGCTCACAAACGATATTCAGCACTCCATCACAGATTTCAAAGGCATTCTCTTAATTAAACACATTTCCCCCACCATGTTGTATTCCCACACAGCAGATGACACGCACCAATAAAGCCAGCTGCACTGCCCGAGTTAACAACAGATGCGTTTCCTGTTGTCTTAATATTGCCACTATCTTTCTCTCTCAGTTGTGTAGTGGGGCATTTCCACCACAGGAACTGTGGGGGGAACCAAGAATCTTGTGAGGAATTCAGGAACTTTAGCACCAGTACAATAGTTCCTGCTCTGGGGATAGTGCTTTCTAATGTTTCAGAACCTACTGGGGTGGATCTAACAGTGCTGAATATCAGTTATTGATCAAACACACTTCATGGCACCTACAATTTATCAAAAAAATAATGGAAGTGTTGTTATTGTTTCATCATGGTTATGTATTAAAGCTGAAATGAATAACCACAGAGGATGACTCTGTGTTGTTTGTCTTCACGGTTCCTCGGATGTGATGGAAATGCAAACAAGAATGCAAATTAGGCGTTTTAGTTCCTTGTTCTGATTCCTGAATGTAGTTCCTTCGCTTCTATAGATCCTGGAACTTTTTGGTCGGAATAGCTGTTAGTTCCTGCTGAGTTACAGATGCCAAAAGAGCCTGTTCTGGGGTCAGTGCTTTCAGTGGTTCAGGAACCATCTGGGCGGGATTTGCAATGCTGAGCATTGATGATTGGTCAGTATTCACCAAAACCTCTGGATGCCACTAGTATCATTAATGTTAAAAAGAACAGGCTTTGTTGTCAATGCCACAAATACTACTAGCTAGATAAAATAGGAGAGAGAGGGAGCATTGAGAACAAAGCAGGTGAGCCATCATCAGTCGGATTTGCTTATAATTATTCAGATGCAGAGAAAAAGCAAACTGGAATACACAAACAGGACATATAGTCCCTTTGGTTCCATAGATCCTGGAATTGTTTGGTTGAAGAAGACTATAACTTCACCTTCTCTCTTTTCCAACCTTTCTTTCTGTTATTTTTTCCTTCTCTGGTCCCCTTCCTGTCTCTTCCTGTCTTCAACATCTTCTTGTCTATTCTTATTCTCAGTTAATCTTATTATGTTAACTTAAATATTTAATCTGCTCCCTCCTGGTTAGGTCCAGCGTATAGAAGAGTTGAACGAGCTAGACATGGAGCTGTACGACTACGCCAAGGACCTGTTCCAGCAGCGCTACCAGTACACCAGACAGCAGGAGAGGCGGCAGCAGCGCATCAAGAACCACATGCAGCAGAGCCACCAGGGCCTGGGTCTGGGCGTCAGCCTGTGGCCCTCCCGCAGCCGGCAGAGCTCGGTGTCGACACTGGAGGAGGGAGAAGTGGAGAGGGAGGAGCGGGAGGAAGGTGAAGAGGGAGGCAGAACGGAGGAGGCGGGCAGCAGGCTCCCCACTGAGGACTACATGAACCAGATCATCAACCGCTGGTAGCAGCAGAATGAGAACAAATACACAGACATGCATACGTAATGTGAAAATGCACATACACATACATACACATGCACACAAACGAACACACACACACACACACACTCTTACATACAAGTAGCGCCTGCATCAAAGACCCAAATGACTGACAAACAGACTTTACCGCAGAGTTGGGCTACGGGAATGAGAGTCCAAGTGGTTGCTATGGAGACCAGGGCTTGGTCGATTGCATCAGCTCATGTTATTGAGGTTTGCCCAGTTGTTATTAGCACCCGCTTGCCCTTTCCCCCCCTCTGAGTTACTCTGTCTCTCTCATCATCATTACTGACTGAGCAGAAGAGAGATATTTTTAAGAGTTGCTGACAACTGAGTATCTCATCCATCTCTCCCGCCTCCACTCCTCCTCCTCCTCCTCCTGTATTCCTCTCGTTCTCTGTGGCCTGATATGGAGCATGAGAAAATAAAATTAAGTCTGTGAATTCCCGCTAATCCTTGCTAAGGACCAGTCTACTTCCTGGCTGCTCCACTTTCAGAGGAACTGGGAAAGCTATGAAAGTATGCGAATGGCTGAGCTGAACAAAGAAAATGGTGGGAATCGAGAGAGAATGTACTGGAAAGAAGGAAGACGGACTGAGTTGTGTAATAAAGCTTTCTGCTTAAAAAAAAAAAAAAAAAAAAAAAAAAATCAACCATTTCACCCATGAACACGCTTTGGTCATGAAATAGTGACAGTCTCATTCTCATTTTAGGATGAATTCATTTGTATTTTCCTTTTGTGTTTATGCTTTTTTAAAAGCAGAATTGTAATAACACTGAGACCAATATTGCTGCCTAAAGAAAAGTGATTCCTTTATTTCTTTATTTTTGTTTGTTTTATAAGTCAAAGCTAATGGATTGGATTGACGTACAATGGACCATAGCCATTACTGAAGCCTTGCATCTTGGGGGCAAAAAGTGGCCTGTTTCTCTGTTAAAGGTTCCCAAAGCTCCTGTCGCTTAATGAGTTCATTATTTCTCCTTTTCTCTCCTTTTTTTTTGTGTGTCTCAGTCCTGCAGAGAATGACAGCCAATTACAGACCCCAGTCTCACATAGGTGTGAGGAAATCAAAGGCAGGGAAAGGAGGGAGAGGAGAGAGTCTGCTGCAGGTTGTTGCCAGGAACCGTGCTGTGTGAGCGGCAAGCGCTTTGGAAGCCTTAACTCAGACAAATGCTTGAGATGGGAGTTGTGGAACTACTGGTCACCATGGCAATGTGGGCCCTTAATGTAGTGGGTGGCATTTTCAGTTTCTGTCTTTTTTTTTTTTTTTTTTTTTTTTTTTTTTTTGGTGACCAAGAGCTGCGTTGTAAAAGCGGCAGTCTCAAACAAGCCTCCGTCCCACCTGCTGAAAGGGTGCACACAGCGCTGGGGACCAGTAGTTCATTAGTGTGACCGATATTTTCGTTGGTTTTACCCTGAAGAACGGACGGGGATGAGGTAGCAGTGCCTCCATGTACTGGGATCATAGTCAACATAATTATTGCCAGATATTACGTCTGCATTATACTACAGTAATTTCTCTGACTACTCGTGTGTCCGTGTGGATGAGAGTGTTTCCGTGTGTGTGTGTGTGTGTGTGTGTGTGTGTGTGTGTGTAAATAGTATGTAAAGTATGCCTTTGATTGGCGTATGTGTCTGCCTTTGTAAATAGTGTGCCTGACTGAGAGAGGATGTCTAATGAGTTTTGTGAATGACTGGTTTCATGACCAATTATCTTGCCATTTTTTTTGGTGGTGGAGGGCGGGGCAGCAAAGTCCCTCCAATAGGATGTCACAGGAGTGTGACCATCGCAGTGATGCAAGCCAATAATACTCCCCTCTGCCCTGTCCTTAACTATTTTCCTCCCCGCTTTTCTTGTCTCCTCCCCATGACTTGGTTACATATGAAGATATTTTTTTTACTATATTTACCTAAAATGTAAATTGATATTTTAAAAAATCTGCCTGTGTGACATGTCTTTACTCTTTGCAGCAAAATCTACAAGCAGGGTTGGGTCACGATAGCCAGCTCCAGTTTGAATCTGATGGTGCACCGAATTGTGTGACCCAATCAGGAATTTTGATTTCAGTGTTTTTCATGCGTTTGTGATTCATGCTTTTTTTTAATGTTAGGTCACAGAATTTGGTGTAACAGCAGTTCTCACTTGGCAGAATATCCACATTTGTTGAGCTCGATGTTAATGAACCTCTTAGAGTACCAGCTTAATAGAGACCTCCAGAATTTGGAGCAAGTAAGGTGTAAAGTAAGTAAGCTACACCTGTTATTTCAATGTGTCAGATACATTTGATCAACATTTCATAAGTTATATGTTTCATCTACAACTTAATATGTTTGCAAATGTTACAATCTACACCCAGTTAGATTCAATACTGAATTCAGATTAGCTAAAGCGCTATCAAACCCCAACCCTGACTACACGCAAAGAATCAGAGCAATAAGAGGAGAAAAACCAATGAGAAGGTAGAGAATAGAATTACTAAAAGTGAGAAGGGAAAAAGACGTGTCACAGAGCAATGAAATCAAACTGAATGTAGTCCAGATTCAGTGTCATCCATGGGTCGACTGGAGGATGCGTTCAGGCAAACTGCTTCCTTGGTATTTCCATAAATAACATGTTGCATCCGGTTGTTAACAATAGTTTGTTTTTCTTTTGTTTGTTTTTTTTTTTTGTATTAAAAAGGGAGGAGGAACTAACAGTTAAACCACCCACCATCACCCTTGTTAAATTTCAAATAATCACCCTGGATCCTCCCGTGTCTCTCGTTTTGATCAACTCCTTTTAAATCAGGGATGATTCATGAAGTGAGGAGAGAAGAACAAGGGGGAGGGGGTTGATGAAAGGTATTGGGACACATCCAGAGTCAATATGCTGCTTTTTGTGTAGCCTTCAAAGTAACGCAATGGGTACTGGGGAAAAAGGATATGGAAAGAAAGACGTCCCTTTTTTTTTGTTTCTTATTAACTTCCCCTTCGTTGTCTTGAAACTGGAGACTTGAAGACACTGCAGCTCCAGGCATTTTGCCCACAAGACATCTTTTTCAGAGTCAGACTTATATTAGACCGTGTTTGGGCTCCAAACCAATAAATGGTTCAGCATTAGTGGCTAAACACAGAAAACAAAACTGATTCTTTGTCTTGAGAGTGTTTTATTTTCAGCGTTCCAGTTTCAAACGACCATCAGATTTGAAGCAAACCTCAAAAGTACCTGAACAGTGTGTGAAAGAAAAACCTCCTTTCGCTGAAATGATTCCAGAGATTGATGCTGTAAAGCTATACTCAAATATTTTATGTCTCATCACTATGTATATCTGATGTCTTAACAGCATTTCTTTTGTGACAACGAAGCAGCCCAGGTGTCACTAGCATCATCATTATTTTTTTTTATGTGTTAAAGAGAGTGTGATAGAGACTTGTTTTTTTTTTTTGTTTTTTTTTTTTGTCTTTTTTGGATTGGTGTGCAGTCTGTCTCTGGCTCTTTCTGTATGCATAATTCTGGGTTTGTTTCTTATGATTGCAAAAATGAATCATCAAGCCACCAATTAAAATATTTCATTTTTACAGACCTGACTGTGTTGTGGTTGTCACTGCACATCATTTGTGATGTTTCCTGCTCTGTCACTCTATTAACAAGCACACACTCATGAAAAACATTTCCCTTCAACTTCCAAGGTGCCGCACTTGAACTGCAGCCACATATTCATTTAAGACTCTCTCATTTAGTGATTTTTTGACAACTTGTGTGGGAGCTTTGCCCTCCAGGTTTCTACACCTCCATCCACAGGCCAATCCATAACTAGAGGACATTTTCTACCGCTCGCCTACACTAACCACAGGACCGTGACCCCATAAAGCAGCCTGTCCCCGCTCCTAATGACAGCCTCAGCCCTGTCAACAGTGATCTACAGCCTAATTCAATCTGCAAACACTCTGCGACTGCCTAACACACGTATATGCACAAAAATATGCGTCTTCCTCTGCTGTGGCAGGTAGATGTTTGTCGAAGGAGGGAAAGAGGGTGGAGGTATAAATATTCCCTGTCCTTGGCTGAGCACGCAAAGAGATGGAGCAGAGTGAAGGCCTTCACCCCATCTCATCAACAGTCCAGTGAGCTTCAACTTTGACCCCTCATCCCCAAGGCAGAGCAGAAAAATAATTTGCCTGGACAGCAACAAGCAGGGGCATTTGTCTGGAGGGAGATCAGAGCTCAACAAGAGCAAGAGTGTAAAGGAGATGAGGAATCAGAGAGGGCCTTTAAGTAAGACGCGAGGAAAGAGAGGATGTTTTTGTGCCTGACATATGAACAGAGAGCGGGAGGGAAATGAGGGGTGGCAAGAGAGAAAGGGAGGGCTGTGCAGCCTCTCTGGCAGCTGGTACATGGTGCACTGGACTGAACGCAGTCTTTAATCCTGCCCATAGTTCTGGGTCGCTGTCATTTCAAGTGCAGCTGGACTTAACAAACAATAATGGCTGAGCTACTGCAGAGGGCTGAGCAGCTTTTGTTTGGCTGAACATGTGCATGTGAGTGTTTGGGAGAAAGTGCCCGCTCGCTCGTTCGCTCCTGCAGTGGGAATCCGGCTCTGAGTGATTGTATGGGCTCTGGCTGCAGTCCATTATTAGGAGGTCAAACTGGCTGCAGCTCCTCATTGCTGTTCCCATGCTTCTTTCATGCAAACAAAGAAGCACTGGCATTATTATCGCTTATTTTCAGCATGGAATTCTGCAGATAAGTTCATATTGAGTGCCTCCCTTACATGCATCAGAGCCAGGCTATTGTAGTTCTGGAGGATTGCCCTGTTGGCACTGGCACTGGTCACGATGGAGTTTCGTCTTTTGTCTCTGGCTGAGTCATTTCCAGCAGTGGCATGGCTTAGACCTTCATCGTCAAATATACAATGTGGATAAATCTCTATACACAAACAATTTGCAGAGTTTCAATACCCTGTTTTGTCAAAAAGTAAATTCAGAGGGCAACAAGAGAGCGCAATCCAGTGTGGGAGTGTACATTTCTCTTTCAGCAATAAAATAAATATGATTAGATCGGACATCTGGGGCTGTTATCTGACCTTCCACTTCGGGTTTGGCTAATCTCCCAGGTCAACACCAAATCATCCCTCATGATATTAAAGGATTGAAAAGAAGAATCCAACCTCCCAGGCAGACAGGACTCTGCCATTATGGAGCTCTTACAGACTAAAACCACTGGGAGTCCAATGCGAGGAATCCCACAACAATCCCATTATGGTCTAAAATGTGTGTTTATTGTGTTCGTGTGGGTGTGTTGAGCTGTGGCCCAGGAGCTCACAAAGAGCTGATCCGCTGTAAACTTATTAACCTCTACATAAAAGTCTCATAAAGGTTGATGTGGGAGAAATGGAGCAGGATACAAACCTTGGGTCCGGGCCAAACATGAAATCTAAGGCTGTTAAAGGGGTGATATTTTCCCTTTACGCAGAGTGAGAGTGACACATGCAAACACGAGGGGATATAAAAATGTGAATTGTGAGCATTGCAGTTTCTAATTACAAAGTTCTCCTTTTGCTGAATATGTAGGCCAATGTGTGTAACTTTTACAAACACCAAGGTAGCCAAGTCTGCCCTCCTCTCCATCTGTGTTTAAGATTTGAGTTCAGGCCGGCCCTGTGTTTGGTGGCTGTAATGTGGTGAATTAGCTTCATGTAGGAGACCCCAGCTGACCCCCATTATACAGTCAGGGACACATTTAATTAGCGGCAACTCACGTGAAACGACAAAATGTATTAATATTAATGGAGGTTTAATTGAGGTCGTTTTGGTCCCCCGTCGAGGCTTTCAACCTCTAAAATGGCTGACGTGTGATAGTGTGAGGAGAGGGAGCCCACAGCCCGGGTTCAACATTTCTTATGTGACCCCGGAGAAGATGACAACCATCTCCCATAATTCATCTGAAGATGTCACCTTCTTGACAGATGAGCAGGCCCCGTGGGCAGCGTGTGTGAGGCTATGTTTAGCTATACTTGTGGGGACGCTCTAGTGAGGACATTGTGGCCTTCCCACATAAGGATGCCACTGATTTTTGTGTTACATTGTGAATTGTGTGTGTGTGTGTGTGTGTGTGCGTGTGTGTGTGTGTGTGTGTGTGTGTGTGTGTGTGTGCGTGCGTGTGTGTGTGCATCTACATGTGAGAGGTGTCCACGCATGTACATCAAAGTGAAGGTCAAATCCAACAGGATAATTAATGTCGCTGCTTTTTATACAATGTTAAATCAAATCCTGGAACTGCTCCCTCTGGAGGATCAG